GAAAGAGGTGGATTTGCCCTGCCAGACCTTAAACTTTATTATGAATCAGCAGCTTTTTGCTGGTTGAAAGAATGGCTGCTTCTTGAAAACACTGACATTTTGGACCTAGAAGGTTTTAACAATGTATTTGGATGGCATGCATATCTGTGGTATGATAAGGTCAAAGCACATAAAGCATTTAAAAATCACATTGTCAGGAAAGCACTGTTTAATGTTTGGATAAGATACAAGGATTTATTAGAAAACAAAACTCCAAGGTGGCTGTCACCAATGGAAGCGAAAGCCTTGAAAAAGCTCAATATGGAGGTCAAATGGCCGAAATATTGGGAAATTTTGGAACAAGATGGAGATAGACTGGAATTGCAGAGTTTTGAAAAATTAAAAAACAAAGTGCGAGACTGGCTTCATTATTTTCAGATAATGGAGGCATTTAAGTTGGACAAGAAAATTGGCTTCCAGGGGGAAAAATCAAAATTAGAAACTGAACTGTTAGAACCCAAAACTAAGAATTTGTCAAGAATGTATAACTTGCTGCTGAAATGGAACACTCAGGATGAAACGGTGAAATCTGCTATGATTAAATGGGCACAAGACGTTGCACACAACATTATGTTCACTGACTGGGAACAGTTACGGACCACAGATATGAAATTTACGGCATGTAATGCCCTAAGAGAGAATATTATGAAAATGATATACAGGTGGTACATAACCCCAGTCAAGCTTGCAAAAATCTACCACTTGCCCGATAATAAATGTTGGAAATGTAAAGAAACTGAAGGTACATTTTTTCACCTTTGGTGGACGTGCCCAAAGATTAAGGCTTTCTGGGAAATGATATATAATGAATTAAAAAGGTATTTAAATATACCTTCTTGAAGAAACCAGAGGCCTTTCTCCTGGGCATAGTCGGCCAATCGGTGTTAAAAAAGGATAGAACTTTCTTTATGTACGCAACAACAGCAGCAAGAATAATCATCGCAAAGTATTGGAAGACACAAGAGCTACCCACACTGGAGGAATGGCAGATGAAACTGATGGACTATATGGAACTGGCAGAAATGACTGGTAGAATCCGTGACCAAGAAGAAGAGTCGGTGGAAGAAGATTGGAAGAAATTTAAAGACTACCTACAGAAACATTGCAAAATTAAAGAATGTTAGAGTGATGATGGATTGAAATTAAGTGGTTTCTAGCTGCACAGGCTTTAAAGTTATATACAGATTAAAATTAAGGATTAGGAATAAAAAGGTTAAAAGAACGGAAAATTGGCTATTAATAGATAAAAATTTAATGTTATACTATATTAAGATTAAGGATTGGGATTAAAAAGGAGGGAAAGGAATTGCTGGACAGACAAACTGAATTGGAATACAAAAGAGGGAGGTATGAGGAGGTCCAGAAAATAAGTAAATTCAAAAGTAGTGATGAAAAGATGGAATTGTTTTTAACTGTTTTTTCTTTTTTTCTTTTTGTATTTTGTATTGTGTATTTTTGTGTTGTGTATTTTTCTTTTTACTTTTAAATTCTTTTTTATTGATGTGTCTCTTTTTATCTGAAACTTTAATAAATATCATTAAAAAAATAAAATTCTAAATGTTCATTCCAATATGCTATCCAATTGTATTCCGAGATAATATCCAGCGGTTCCTTGTTCTGCTAGGTGATATTTTCTCCCATCTTCAGCCCCAAACATTGCTATGAGTCAAGAATAGTCCTCTTCCAATCCAGGATGATGACTTTATCTCTCCCCCCCCCAAAAAAAATTCCAACCATTCCTCTATGTTTGAAAACAATAATTCCTTCATTTTTATTTAAACAGGAAATTCTCCACTGTAGTCATTTTTTTTTTAAAAAAACCATAGCTATTTACTTGTTGTGTATTCATTATTTTACACATGTATTTTATTTATATCTTACGATCCCATTTCCTGTAGGGAAATTTATCAAGAGAAAAAGAAAAACACTTCCATTTCTACCACTTCCATTCTACCACTTCCATTTTTCCCCAATAGCATCACCAGAAGCTTGATAGGTTTTTCCTCTAAATTCCCTCCAAATTATACCCAGAATCCTTTCTGCATCATCTTGTAATTCTCTGCTTTAGAGAGACTAAGCAGCTCTTTCATGCAAAGGCATGAACTTCAGTAAACATTGTTTGTTCTGAGATGGCAACTTTTTACATTGATTTCTGTAAGTAATAATTTCTCCTTGATTTTCCTTTTTTTTTAATGATATTTATTAAAATTTCAAAAGAAAAAGATTACATTAAAAAGAAAATTAACAGTAAAAGGAAAATACAAAATACAAAATACAAAAAGAAAAACCAGTTAAAAACAATTCCATCTTTTCATCACTTCTTTTACATTTACTTGTTTCCCAGACCTCCTCATACCTCCCTCTTTTGTATTCCAATTCAATTTATTAGTCCAGCGATTCCTTTCCCTCCTTTTTAATCCTGATCTTTAATCCTGATATATTATAACATTAAATTTTTAGATATTAAAAACCAATTTTTCCATATTCTTTTATACCATTACCGCTAGAAACTGCTTAACTTCAATCCGTCATCATTATAACATTCATTAATTTTACAATATTTCTGTAAGTAGTCTTTAAATTTCTTCCAATCTTCTTCCACCGACTCTTCTCCCTGGTTTCGGATTCTGCCAGTCATTTCCGCCAATTCCATATAGTCCATCATTTTTATCTGCCATTCCTCCAGTGTGGGTAGATCTTGTGTCTTCCAATGCTTTGCTATAAGTATTCTTGCTGCTGTTGTAACATACATAAAGAAAGTTCTGTCCTTCTTTAACACCGATTGGTCGACTATGCCCAGGAGGAAGGCCTCTGGTTTCTTCAAGAAGGTATATTTAAATACCTTTTTTAATTCATTATAAATCATCTCCCAGAAAACCTTAATCCTTGGGCACGTCCACCAAAGGTGAAAGAATGTACCTTCAGTTTCTTTACATTTTCCAACATTTATTATCGGGCAAATGGTAGATTTTTGCAAGCTTGACTGGGGTTATGTACCACCTATATATCATTTTCATAATATTCTCTCTTAGGGCATTACATGCCATAAACTTCATACCTGTGGTCCATAACTGTTCCCAGTCAGCAAACATAATATTATGTCCAACATCTTGTGCCCATTTAATCATAGCAGATTTCACCGTTTCATCCTGAGTATTCCATTTCAGCAGCAAGTTATACATTCTTGACAAATTCTTAGTTTTGGGTTCTAACAGTTCTGTTTCTAGTTTTGATTTTTCCACCTGGAAGCCAATTTTCTTGTCCAAATTGTATGCCTCCATTATCTGATAATAATGAAGCCAGTCTCGCACTTCGTTTTTTAGTTTCTCAAAACTCTGCAATTTCAGTCTATCTCCCTCTTGTTCCAGAATTTCCCAATATTTCGGCCATTTGACCTCCATATTGAGCTTTTTCTGTGCTTTTGCTTCCATCGGTGACAGCCACCTTGGGGTTTTGTTTTCCAATAAATCCTTATATCTTATCCAGACATTAAACAATGCTTTCCTGACAATATGATTCTTAAATGCTTTATGTGCTTTGACCTTATCATACCACAAATATGCATGCCATCCAAATACATTATTGAAACCTTCTAAATCCAAAATGTCTGTGTTTTCAAGAAGCAGCCATTCTTTCAGCCAGCAAAAAGCTGCTGATTCATAATAAAGTTTAAGGTCTGGCAGGGCAAATCCACCTCTTTCCTTTGCATCCGTTAATATTTTAAGTTTTATTCTAGGCTTCTTGCCCTGCCAGACAAATCTAGAAATATCTCTCTGCCACTTCTTGAAGCAATCCATTTTGTCCACAATTTGCAATGTTTGAAACAAAAACAACATTCTAGGCAATACATTCATTTTTATCGCAGCAATACGGCCTAGCAATGAAAGCTTCAAATTTGACCAAATTTCTAAGTCTTTTTTCACTTCCGTCCAACATTTTTCATAATTGTCTTTAAATAACCAGCTATGAAGCAGAGGGCCGGTCCACCCACAAGGCAGGCTGTGACAGCTGGCTTGGGCAGTGGAATGCCAACAGGAGGCATCTCTGGGGGTGTGCTGCCTTGCCATCTGAAGAATTAGACGAGCGACCACAGACTCCTTTCCTCATGACTATGAGAAAACATTTAAAGAGCTGTCCAGAACAAAGGTTCTCTATTATTGTTGCACTCAACAGGAAATAGGTTACCTAGGAGCGAAGAACTAGGGGCTGAGGTCCCTTCAGTGCCCCTATAAAATATGTGAAGGGGCCTGGCTCCGCCAAAGTTCATGGCAATCGCCATTCTAATGGTGGACGTGAGCCACATTATGTGATTGATTATGCGAGGTGGGGCTCACTTGCCCCCTTCCTCATATTTTATTCAAGTTGGCACCTCTGATGGATTGCAACTAGCAAGTGCTCTGTGGAAGTAGCAATTGTACTGCACTGTGGTTCGATTCAACTGCAGGTAGAAGTTTGTTGGCTTTTGCAATTGTAATGCATTTACTATCCTGGCCCTCATTGCTGGATTAATAAGAGCTTGAACTCAGAGTTCTTTCTGAAGGCTTTGATGCCTACATCAGATTGGTACCTTCCCAAGGCACAGGTTACAAGGAGTAGCAATTCCATAAGAGGGAAAGATATCCATATTAAATACCAGATGACTCTTGGGCTACTGGAAGTAGATCACAGTCTCTCGGGAGTTCAATGTGCCTGATATAAAGCACACTTCGTCACATCTGCAAGGCACATATTAAAAGGACTATAGCGTTTGATTTTATTTGTGTTTGATTGTATCACATTCCAAGGCTACTTACAAATGGCGTTGCACCCATTGTTGCTTATTTGTTTTTAATAACTGAGCATATAAAAACAAAGAATACTGCTGATGTCTTTGACGAAAGCAAAAACTCCTTAGAGAAAAAGAGTTGAACCTGACCAGGCAACCTAGAAAAAATTAAGGAGAAAGAGACAGCAAGAGAAGGATGGAGGTATGGGCACTTTTGATTGCTCTGCTGGTGGCTCTTCTGATTCTGCACTACCTGAAACAGCTCTGGTCACGCAGGCATTATCCTCCAGGACTTCTCCAGCTTCCTCTCATTGGAGCCATATGGAGGTTTGGATTCAAGATTGATGAAAATACTCTCATTCAGGTACTTATTGCTTCGTAATAACTCAGTCTGATGCCAGCAATTGTTTTATCTATTTCCCCCAACAATTGTGATATTTCAGCTTCAACGATGGCATGGGTTAAAATGATAAATGCCATAAGCCTCTGTTGTCAGAAGCTGTAAGCAATACAAATAATAGTAATAATGTAAATAGTATTATTATTAATATTGCAAAGCACAAAACCATCATAAAAGTTGAAAATACGCATTAAAAACTACAGATCAAAAATATTTATTGTATACTGTTAAACTGAGGAAGGAGGAGAGAACACCCTCAAAGGAAGAATGCTTTATGAAAATCTTGGAATATGCAGAGATGGCAAAAATTGATAAAAGATACAAATTTATAATCTTTTAAAAAAGGTTAGAAAACCTCTCCGGTCTATATAAAAAGTTATTTCCCATATGCAAAGACCACAGTGGGGTTTAAACTGTAAGAAAACAGCAGAATATATTAAGAATCATGTTAGAGAGGATCAAATTAGATAAGATGGAACTTTAAAATGCAATAGTATGTAATTCGAGTTATAAACATTGATATTGGGTGAGTGGGAAATCACTTGTTTTGTTGAATTGGAATATAGTGGTACCTTGGGTTAAGTACTTAACTTGTTCTGGAGGTCCGTTCTTCTTCTTTTTTTTATAATGTTTATTAAATTTCCAGTTAACAAACCAATCATATCACATTAATTCCAAATTATACCAATACATAATAAACTCCAAATATTTAGCCGAATTTTAAATTTTTTGGTGGGGTGCCCATGCTTTGAGTTCAGAAAGGGTCCAATCATCTCATATTTCTGCTGCTTTGATGTTCATAAGTCCCATCTTTCCTTTTATTTTAAATGATATTTATTAAAGTTTCACATGAAAAGAAACACATTAATAAAAAAAAAGAATTTAAAAATAAAAAGAAAAATACACAATACAGAATACAAAAAGAAAAAAGAAAAAACAGTTAAAAACAATTCCATCTTTTCATCACTACTTTTACATTTACTTATTTCCCGGACCTCCTCATACCTCCCTCTTTTGTATTCCAATTCAGTTTGTTTGTCCAGCAATTCCTTTCCCTCCTTTTTAATCCCAATCCTTAATCTTAATATAATATAACATTAAATTTTTACCTATTAAAAACCAATTTTCCATTCTTTTAACCTTTTTAATCCTAATCCTTATTCTTGATCTATATTTAACTTTAAAGCCTGTACAGCTAGAAGCCACTTAATTTCAATCCAACATCACTCTAACATTCATTAATTTTGCAATATTTCTGTAAGTAATCTTTGAATTTCTTCCAATCTTCTTCCACCGACTCTTCTCCCTGGTCACGGATTCTGCCAGTCATTTCCGCCAATTCCATATAGTCCATCAATTTCATCTGCCATTCCTCCAGTGTGGGTAGCTCTTGTGTCTTCCAATACTTTGCGATGAGTATTCTTGCTGCTGTTGTGGCATACATAAAGAAAGTTCTATCCATTTTTTAACACCGATTGGCCGACTATGCCCAGGAGAAAGGCCTCTGGTTTCTTCAAGAATGTATATTTAAACACCTTTTTTTAATTCATTATATATCATCTCCCAGAAAGCCTTAATCTTTGGGCATGTCCACCAAAGGTGAAAAAATGTACCTTCAGTTTCTTTACATTTCCAACATTTATTATCAGGCAAATGGTAGATTTTTGCAAGCTTAACTGGGGTTATGTACCACCTGTATATCATTTTCATAATATTCTCTCTTAGGGCATTACATGCCGTAAACTTCATACCTGTGGTCCATAACTGTTCCCAGTCAGCGAACATAATGTTGTGTCCAACGTCTTGTGCCCATTTAATCATAGCAGATTTCACCGTTTCATCCTGAGTGTTCCATTTCAGCAGCAAGTTATACATTCTTGACAAATTCTTAGTTTTGGGTTCTAACAGTTCTGTTTCTAATTTTGATTTTTCCACCTGGAAGCCAATTTTCTTGTCCAAATTGTATGCCTCCATTATCTGATAATAATGAAGCCAGTCTCGCACTTTGTTTTTAATTTTTCAAAACTCTGCAATTTCAGTCTATCTCCATCTTGTTCCAAAATTTCCCAATATTTCGGCCATTTGACCTCCATATTGAGCTTTTTCAAGGCTTTCGCTTCCATTGGTGACAGCCACCTTGGAGTTTTGTTTTCCAATAAATCCTTGTATCTTATCCAAACATTAAACAGTGCTTTCCTGACAATGTGATTTTTAAATGCTTTATGTGCTTTGACCTTATCATACCACAGATATGCATGCCATCCAAATACATTGTTAAAACCTTCTAGATCCAAAATGTCAGTGTTTTCAAGAAGCAGCCATTCTTTCAACCAGCAAAAGGCTGCTGATTCATAATAAAGTTTAAGGTCTGGCAGGGCAAATCCACCTCTTTCCTTTGCATCCGTTAGTATTTTAAATTTTATTCTGGGCTTCTTGCCCTGCCAGACAAATCTAGAAATATCTCTCTGCCACCTCTTGAAACAGTCCATTTTGTCCACAATTTGCAATGTTTGAAACAAAAACAACATTCTAGGCAATACATTCATTTTTACCGCAGCAATACGGCCCAGCAGTGAAAGCTTCAAATTTGACCAAATTTCTAAATCTTTTTCACTTCAGCCCAACATTTTTCATAGTTATCTTTAAATAAATTCCCATTTTTTGCTGTCATGTTAATCCCCAGGTATTTAACTTTCTTAACCACTGTTAAACCTGTCACATTCTGAAACCTCTCTCTCTCCATTAGTGTTAGATTTTCTCTAAAACCTTAGTTTTTAACTTGTTCAATTTAAATCCTGCAACCTGACCAAATTCTTGAATCAGTTCTAAAACCCTTTTGGTACTAGATTCTGGCTCCTGTAACGTCAGTACTAAATCATCTGCAAATGCTCTCAATTTGTACTGTTTAGCTCCGACCTGTATACCTTTAACCAGCTGGTCCCTTCTAATCATGTTCAGCAAAACCTCCAGGACTGAAATAAAAAGTAGTGGGGAAATTGGGCAACCTTGTCGTGTCCCTTTTTCTATTTTAAGTTCTTCCATCACCACATTATTTACAATTAATTTAGCCTTTTGTTCTGAATAGATTGTACTTATACCATTTTCAAAGCCTTGGCCTACCCCCATACCCTGTAGGTTCTTCTTCATAAAGCTCCAAGAAATATTGTCAAAAGCTTTCTCCGCGTCCACAAATATCAAAACTGCTTTAGTATTTATATTCACTTCTAGTTTTTCCAAAATATCAATTATATTCCTCAAATTGTCAGACAAGTGTCTTCCTGGGAGAAAGCCCGCTTGATCTTTATGAATCTCTTCCATCAACACTTTTTTAAATCTCTTAGCCAAAATGTCTGCAAAAATTTGTAATCCACATTGAGTAATGATATGGGGCGGTAGTTCTTAAGCTGTGTCTTTTCAGTCTCTGTTTTCGGTACAAGTGTAATATAAGCTTCTTTCCACGACTCTGGTGCTCTTTTCCCCTCCATTATTTCATTACAGACCTCTTTCAAAGGTTGTACTAGCCATTCTTTCAAGGATCTGTAATATCCAGAAGTCAATCCATCCGGTCCTGGAGACTTACCCAATTTCATGTTTTGAATGGCACCTTCTATCTCCTGTTCAGTTATTTTATAGTTCAACATTAATTTATTTTCTTGAGAGATTTTTTTGTAATCCATTTGTTTTCAAAAATTGATCTAGATCAGTTTCTTTCAGTGGCCCTTGTGTATATAGTTGTTTAAAGTACCTCTGGAAACAATTTGTAATCTCAGCTGGGTTCTGTATATTCCTTCCTTCCACTTCTAAATTCGTAACTGTATTTAATTTTTGTCTTTTTTTCATTTGCCAAGCCAACAGTTTCCCACATTTGTTAGCCGACTCAAATGTCTTTTGTCTCATTTGTTTAATTTTCCATTCTATTTCCTGATTCATCATTTTCATGTATTGTACTTGGTGTAGCTTTAATTCTCTCAGAATCTCTTGAGATTTTGGATTTGTTCTCAATCTTTTTTCACTTTCCTTTATTTTCTCCAATATCTTATCCTTCTTCTCATTTTGAATTCTCTTCTTTACTGCATTCTGTTGTATCAGAAACCCTCTCATAACTGCTTTACTTGCGTCCCAGATTACTCTTTTTTCCACGTTGGTATTCATATTTATCTCAAAATAATCTCTCAAGGTTTTTTGGGCCTTCTTTAACACTTCTTCATCTCTAAATAAGGTGTCATTCATCCTCCATCTGAAGGAGCCAGTTGGTGTTAGTTTCATTTCCATCTTGACAGCATTATGGTCGGAGCAAGTTTTCGGGCAGATTTCCACCTTTCTTGTCTTTGGTGCCATTCCTCTAGTTACCCATATTTGGTCAATTCTTGTCCATGTCATTTTGGCTTCAGAAAAGAAGGTTCCCTCTTTAGCCATGGGGTTTCTTGTTCTCCAGATATCAACTAAGTCCAAGTTGTCTGTCATCTCAAAAAAGGTTTTCGGTAGTCTACCATCCTTAGTGACTACCTGTCTTTGTGCCTTGTCCATATGTGTAGATACCACTCCATTCATGTCTCCCATCAAAATCATGTTATAATCCAAATAGTCCATCAAAGTCTCATGCAACTTCTTAAAAAAATCAGATTTCCCTTCATTTGGTGCGTAAATTCCTACTATCAAAAATTTTTCTCCTTGTGTTTGAATTTCAATTGCCACAAATCTTCCTTGGTCATCTTTAAAAATAAATTTCGGTGATAATCTGTCCTTTGCATAAATCACAACCCCTCTATTTTTAACTTTGTCCGATGAAATAAACTCCTGGCCAAGTCTTTTATTTAGCAATAATTTCCTGTGTGAGCTTGTTATATGTGTTTCTTGTAAGCAAATCAAGTCCAATTGTTCCGTTTTTAATAAATGAAACACAGATTTCCTTTTCTGAGGGGAATTGACACCATTACAATTCCAGCTTAATAGTTGCAGGGCCATGATGTAATTATTTTGGTTCTCCTCCAACAGCACCCAGTGCCTGTTCCTGTTCCGTCGGTGGTATCACGTTTTTCAGGCGGTCTTTTAGTTCCAGAGATAGTCCTGGTGTGTCTAAAGTTTCTCTTACAATTGCTCTTAACTCTCCTGTAACTTTCTTCTGTAGGTCTTCTCCGTGGTCTCTCCAAAATTTGTCTTTGTCGTCTTCCGATCTTATTTTTATCTTCTTTCCTTTGTAACTAAAGGATAGGCCTTGAGGAAATTCCCACCTAAAGTTAATTCCGTTACTTCTCAACAGGGTAACCAGGTCTTTGTAGTTAGACCTGAGATCCAGAAGGTGTTTCGGAATATCCTTGAATATCTCCACTTTTGACTGTTGTATTTCCAGTGTCTTCTGGAAATGCAAACTCAGAATCTTGTCTCTCTCTTCTTTTGTTTGGAGAGTGATCAAACAATCTCTCACCTTCTTTCCCCCTCCTTTTCCAAGTCTAAAAGCATTCACTATTTTAAAACTGTCTTTCCCCAAATCTGGATTCCAAAAATCTAGGAATTCCTGCGTAAGAAATTCAACTAAGTTGTCTTTCTCCACTTCAGGTACAGCTCTGACCCTTAAATTCACTTGTTTCTCCTTCAACTCAATCATAGACAGGATTAATTTATGGTCTTCAAGTTGTTTATGTAGCGGTGGTATCTTCTCTTGAACCTCTGCAACAGTAGCTGTAGCAATTTCTTTAGCCTCTTCGGCAATCTCACGTGTCGAAGCAGATTCCTGTAATAATTTCTGAATAGTTTCTGTATTAGTATTTACTTTCTGTCCCAAATTATTGATACTTGCCGTATTTTGGTTAATACTTGTCGTATTTTGATCAATCTTATCCGATGCCTCTGCTACTTGTTTACTTATTCTATCCAAAGATTCATTAATTTTAGCCAGTGCCTGAGCCAGGGCATCGTCACTTGCCATACCTTTAGTTTTAGGTTGTGCCGATGAAGTTGCTGTTGGGACTCCAGGGGGGCCAGATGTCGAAGCTCTCCTTTGCAATCCACCGTCTGTGCGATATACTCTGCCAGACCTTGTTGCTTGTAACAAATCTAACTTCTCTTTCCCATCTGCCATACCCCTCTAGATAAAACTCAAGGTCAGTCACACAGTCAGAGTCAAAGTTGTTTTGAAATGGAAAGTTCCAGGAAAACAGTGTGAGAAATTTCCTCAGGCCAGCTGCAGTTGTAGCTAGTTCCAAATTCCACTAGGGGGACACTGTAACAGTCATAAAGTTCTTAAAGTAATTTACTTCTCCCTTTAGTCCCCCAATTCACCAGAAAGATAACAATCTATCTTAGGCAGTTACTTTAGGACCAGGAGATACCTATCAGCAATATTGTATCCAAATTGTATTTCAGATGCAGAGCTAGCTGTCAAAATACGTTCAAAGACAGTACATTCTCTTAGGCTTTTTACTGTCACTGGGAACCCGTTCCAGGGGGTTTGAGCGGTGGTTTTTATCTCCTCTTTCTCACTTCTTCTTGGGGAAATAACGTGCAAAACTCCCCCCCCTTCCCCCAAATTGAGGGGGGGGGAAAATCCCGGTTAGATGATCGGATTGTAATCCTTTTACGCTTCTTTTAAAGCTTCCGCTTTCAAGTTCAATGCTTTGTTCTATCTACAAGAGCGGGAGGCAGACTTCCCTTTTATACCTCTCCGCTTCGGCCAATTACTTCCAATTTTTTTACAGTTCCTTTAATTACGTAGTAATCCTACTCACGGATCGTTATTTACGAAGCCAAATTGTCAAGGAAGAAAGGCAGCGCTCTCCGGCAACAGCTACGCGGCTTCACCCCACAGAAGAAGCAGATGACTCACAGCACAGCGCCCCTTCCCCGCTCTGTTCCGGAGCCCGTTGCCGGGTTCCTTTGCAGATTGGGGGGGGCGCAGACAGTGCCCGCCGAGTCCCAGGGTCACAGGCTTCACCCGCCTGTGGTTTCAGGGGTCCCCGCTGCGCCGAAGCGGTATCCGACCCTATTTCTGTGGAGCGGGTTCCCTCCGAATCAGAGGGAATCCGCCATTACCGTTGGCGTCACCTCCGGAAGTCCACAAGTCCCATCTTTCCATCTCTTTGTTGTTATCCTTAACAAATCCCGTCTTCCAATCTTCTTGCTGTTATCATTTTTCTTCTTAATAACCTCTGAGTTATCTCCACAAGCGAGTTGAAGCAAACATTATTATAGTCCTGTGTGGATTTTCACGCTGATCCAAAAGTCCTATTCAAACGGCAGGCGCCATTTCAGCAGTTCCCATAAAATACAGTCTAAGCGTCTGCTCATTAACATTCCCAGACCAGTTGCTCCATAAATCAGCCTTTCCAGGGGAGTACTTGCCAAATCAAATGTAGAATTCAGATATGATAACAGAACACTGGCTCCCTCCCCCTTTGACTGTAAATCTTGCAACAAAGTATGTCTCATAATGGCGGTTCCCAATTAGAACTGCGTCATCCAAAAGCCTTTTGTTACCTTTCCAGATCTTCCGCAAAACAGAGCCTTTAGTTGATAATTTTATTTCCACACAGTTTATTTTCCCACCTCACTTGCTATCAGTCATGTGGCGGTTCTTCTTGGGGAGGGGTTGTTAGGTAAATCATATTGAAAAAGAGAAAAGTTTTCCCCCCCCTTTTCGATCCGTTTCAACATACCGACATAGTTGTGATTCTTTGATGTAGTCTTCTGTTCAGTCCAACCCGTCACTCAGCTTCTCAGTGGTCGATTTAATTAGCAATCAGTACACCCTTTCCTTCTCTCGAAACATGTGCATTTACTGTTCTCCAATTATTTATCTTGAGCAATGCAACTAGGATCACAATCAGAAGTAGCGTCCAGGAGATCCAAAAACTCACTCGAGGGCTTTCCGTCCAGTGCCCCCACCCCCTCCTTCCTTCAAACTCGGGGGTGATTTATTGGCAACTGCGGACGAGGCAGCATTTTCCCATCCCCTGGGAAAACTCGGGAGGCTAATTTACTCCCATCATTAGCCTCTTAACCTGCCCGTTCTTACCCTGAAACTGTTCTTAACCTGAAGCACCACTTTAGCTAATGGGGCCTCCTGCTGCTGCCGCACCGCCAGAGCATGATTTCTGTTCTCATCCTGAAGCAAAGTTCTTAACCCGAGGTACTATTTCTAGGTTAGCAGAGTCTGTAACCTGAAGCGTATGTAACCTGAAGCGTATGTAACCCGAAGTACCACTGTATAATTGTTGAGTAACAAATGTAACTTTCTATATGGAAAATTTCTATATTCCAATTGTTTTGTTAATTGGATTATTATTATTATTAACCACCCAATAATACGCCCCCACAGAAAAAAACCAGATTTTAAAAGGGCATAGGATGTCAATGAAATCAACCAAAGGCCTAGTTAAAAAGGAAGGTTTTGCCAGGTGAACTTCCCTGGCGAGAGCATTCCACAGATGGGGAGTCACTGCAGAGCAGGTCCATTCTTGTGTTGCCACCCTCTGGACCTCTTATGGAGGAGGAACACAAGGAAGGGCCTCAGAAGATGATTTCAGGGTCTGGGTAAGATCATATCAAAAGAGGCGGTCCTTGAAGTATTGTGGTTCTGAGCCATTTAAGGCTTTCTAGGTCAAAACCAGCACTTTGAATTGGGTCCAGAAACTAATTGGTAGCTGGTGCAGCCGGACCAGGAGCGATGTAATATGCTCTTGTTCTGGTGAGCAAACTGGCAGTGATCTACCAAATTTGTTGAGCTTTTTTAGGGAGCTAAAGTTCTTGAGCTTTCAGGGAGGTTCGGGGCCCCCCCAAGATCTACCACAGACACAGCACGATCTTCTAGTAGATCACGATCTACCTGTTGGACATCCCTGGCCTAGAATGCTGTGTACTTCTCCCCTTTCAACAGACGGAAGGGCAACAAGTTCGATTGGCAATGAAGCAGGAGCACACCAGCCTTTCTCAGCAGCAGCTCACGTGTAACTAGAGAAGACAAGAGACAAACAGAACAGGCACCTTTCCATTGCCTCCTCCGCAAGCATTTACTCTTTGTCAGACCATAGTTTAGTTTATTTGTTTGTTTCTTAAATACAATTATGAGCCTTTTTTCAGCAAAAACTCTTCAAAAAATACAAAATTACTCAACCATCGGATATGAACATATTAACTTTTAAAACATTGGAATTGGTAATCTCTAGGCCAGACATTTATCATCTTAATTCCTTGCCATATATTTGCATGGTGGTGATGCTCCTGCTGTAACCCACCGTGGGTCTGAAAGCTGACCCAGGACTCTAGCCCAGCCTATGCCAACCTGGTACCCTCCAGATGTTTTGGACTACAATGCCCATCTGCCCCAACCACCATGGCCAATAGTCAGGGATGGTGGGAGTTCTAGTTCAAAAGCATCTGGTGGGCTACAGGTTCCACATCCCTGCACACACAAAGATTGTGGCAAGATCATTTTCTGGCAATGACTTGTGCATCTTCTTGTCTGTCGCAGGAGGGCTGGTTACTATGAAGTGTCTCTGCTGTTCTGATCCTAGGCAGAGGCAACATGGCTAGGAGGGAGTAAAACAAATGGGTTGGAATTCTTGGAGGGAGGGAGGGAGGGAGGGAGGGAGGAAGGAAGGAAGGAAAGGAGGAGGAGGAGGAGGAGGAGGAGGAGGAGGAGGAGGGGGGGGAAGGATGATAGCAAGAGAACTGCACATAGTGAGAAACTGCAGAGGTGAGGGAGGATGACGTTCTCGTATTAAGTTGAAATATCCAACTGTGTTTTTTGAATCCATCATTCCTCTCCTCTCTTTTGACCCAAATGGTAGCTGGGAAAGCAACATGGAAATATTTACACCATATGGTTAGGACATCTACCCATTGTAGTACTGTCTGGATTCCAAGCAGTGAAAGAAGCGCTCATTGACCACTCTGAAGAATTAGACGAGCGACCTGAGACTCCTTTACTTAGGACTCTGATAAAAGGAAAGGGTAAGTAGTGAAGAATAAGAATTCCTACTGGTATTTTCTGAAGATGAAACATTTAAAGGGCTGTCCAGAAAAACAGAACAAAGGTTCTCTATTACTGCTGCACACAATGGGAAATGCATTACCTAGGAGCTAGGACCTAGGGGCTGAGGTCATTCAGAGTTGCTAGTCCTCATGCTATCAAATGACACGTTCATTTGGGTGCATGAAAACCTGGCTTCAGTACATGTGAATATTTGATTGATTATGACATCTCTAAGAAACACAATACACTGCTTCTCTCAACAAGCTCTTCCAACATGTTTTGGGCATGGACTCATGTGGCAAATATAACATGTGAACTTTGCAATCACATAGTTACTATCATCATTATAAATTATGAATTGCATTTTGCATGTATGCCTCAAGGCAACTTACAGAGATATAAAAGCAGTTTAAACTATGAATAATCATAGTTTAGAGGTCCCGGGCCCTAAGTAAGTCAGATTATCCCCCACCAGGGCCAGGGCCTTCTCAGTGATGGCTCTGACCTGGTGGAGTGCTCTGTCCCATGAGACCAGGGCCCTGCAGGATTTAACTTCCTTCCGCGGGGACTGTAAGACAGACCTATTCTGCCTGGCTTTCAATTTGAACTTAGCCTGATCTTTTATTCGCCTTACTCCCCTCCCCTCCCCTCTTTATGAAGATTACCCGCTCTGGGATCCCACAGCTAATTCTCCCCTGGTCTCCTCTCTGGCCCAAATAGGACTAATATAGCCAGCTAGCCCTGGTGATCATCTAATGTTTATTGGCTGGATTTCCCCCCTAAATTGATTTTTGAATTCTGAATTTATTGTTATTCACGTTTTATCCTGTATTTTATGCTGTTTTTGGCTGCATCAATTAAGTGTTTTAAATTTGTTGTTTGCCACCCTGAGCCCAGTTTTCTGAACTGGGAAGGGTGGGATATAACTAAAAAAATATTATTATTATTTATTATAAAAGTTTTTAAAACAGTACAAAAACCAACAACAGCTAAATATGGGTTAAAACAATAAAAGGTATACACCTATTGAAGTGACCTTTGTACACGACTGGGAAAGCTTGTTGGGGAAAAATGTCTTCCTCATTTTTGGAAAGTACAGAGTCATATTCTGAATGCAGTTCCAAAGAACAGGGACATTCACTCTGAAAGACACAATGTGAGTTACTGTGGGGCTGGCCTGCCCAATAATTCCTTTCACTAACTCCACAGTTTATTACTGGTGCTAAGGGCTCCTCCAGAAAACGTTTTTTAATTGCACATTCATAATGATTTGTGCTCATAATACTTTCAAGGTGGTTATATCCAACTCCATTGTCAATACTATTTATGCCTGCAAAGATTTTGAGGTGATCATACACTTTCATTTCCATTCTGTCACATCCTTTAACTTTCTGCTGAAAACTACAAATGCACAAACTTATTTTTGTCCCACTTTCGTTGCAATGTAAATAGTTTCCGCAGACAGAAATAATGCAGTAGAGTTCAGGCACCGTTGCAGAAGAATTAACAAAGCAGAATATATCCACCATTGATGCATTACATCTTGTCAAGAATATGGTGCAGAATTCACCCTCAGTAAAAATCCCAAACCTGTCTAGTTGGACCAGTAGAAGTAGTAACTGGTTGACACCACACATTATATCCTTAAAAACAGTGTCGAAAAATTGGCTGAATTGGGTTTGTTTGGTTTTCCATACTTTTTTATAGAAACTTTTCAGCAACACTAACTAAACAAACAAACAAAAAAGTAAAAGAGAGAAAGAAATGCCAAGCCCTGTCTCAAAGTAGATCTTATAGGCGAAGGGGATCGAGATATGGATATGCTCATACCCCTTCCAATCTGCGCCTCATTCCGAGGGACGAGGGTAGGGTGAGCAAGGTTTACTCACCTCCGTCACTGGTGCTGTGCTATGCCAGGTCTATAGGCAACAAAACCGCCACCCTGCGAGATTTCTTTACCTCGCAGGGGGTCAACCTGGCTTGTGTGATGGAGACCTGGGTGCACAAAGGGGAAACAATTACCTTACGAGAGATGGTGTCCTCGGGTTTCTCCTTCCTCCACCAGTCGCAGACTGTGGGCCGGGGCGGGGGGGAAGGGGTGGCATTATTAATCCGGGAAGATTGTCCTTTCAGGGCTCTACCATCGCCATCGATCCCCGGCATTGAATGTGTTGGCTTAGTGTGGGGCTCCGAGGAGATCTTGGCTGTCTGTCTGGTGTACCGGCCACCTAGCGCACCAGCAGCCACCCTGTCAGGCCTACTGGAGGCGTTGGCCGGCTGGACATTGGAGTTCCCTAACCTATTGGTATTGGGGGATTTCAACATCCATGCTGATACCACTCCCTCCTCACAGGCTCTGGACCTGGTGTCTTCCATGGCGACACTAGGGCTCTCCCAGTTTGTTTGGGCCCCACACATCAAGCAGGCCACACGCTGGATTTGATCTTTGGCATAGGTATGGATGTGATCATGTCTCCTTCGATGAAGGTGCCATGGTCTGATCACTACGCTCTGAAAGCCAGGATTGACTTTCCACCCCCACCCTGCTTAGGTGGTGAGCCGATTTGGGCTCACCCGCAGAGGCTGATGGACCCTGATAGATTCCGCCAAGCCTTGCGGGACCTTGCTCCCCCTGGCTACTCATTGATTGAGCTTGTTGAGGGCTGGAATATCCAGCTCCTGCCAGCCATCGATGAGATCGCACATAAGTGCCCTCTGCGACCCCGCAGAAACCGGGCTCGTACCTACGGGACCGCCTCTCCTGGTATGTCCCACAGAGAAACTTACGGTCTTCAAATAAAAACATCTTGAAGTTCCCAGGCCACAGAGAGGGTAGGCTGGCCTCAACTAGAGCCAGGGCTTTTTCGGCTGTGGCTCCGATCTGGTGGAACGCTCTGTCACAAGGGACAAGCCCTGTGGGACTTGACATCTTTCCACAGGGCCTGCAAGACAGAGCTGTTCCACCAGGCCTTTGGCCAGGGCACAGCCTGACTCCCTCCTTTGGCAATCTTCGTGGAGCTCTGGCCCAATGGTTGCCAGTGGTTTGCTTTGAATTAATTTTATAATGAATGATTTTAGAGTGTTGTGTTGTACTGTTGTACTGTTTTATTGTTGTTAGCCGCCCTGAGCCCGGCTTCGGCTGGGGAGGGCGGGATATAAATAAAAATTTTTATTTTTATTATTTTTATTATTATTATTATTATTATTATTATTACTACTACTACTACTACTACTATTATTATTATTATATCTTGTCTCACACAGACGGGAGTGGACCCTCCCAGCTCTCACCTGGGTGCTTCCCTTTCTTCCCCCAGTCTCCCATCCTGGGAGATCTTTCCTTCTCTGCATCTCACACAGGGTCTTTCACCAGCCAGATATCACCTTCAAGTGTGTACCCAATAGTCTTCCTCCATTCCAGTATGGTGACTTTATCTCCCAAAAAATTCCAACCATTCCTCCATGTTTTTTTTTTAAAAAAAAATCCTTCATTTCTATTTAAACAGGAATCTATTAAAAAATAATCCATAGTTAATTACTTGTTGTATATTTATTATTTTACACCCAGTTTTATACCATACTGAGGTCTTATTAACAACTCACTCTCCACCTTAACAGTCTGCCTTGAAAACCTGCATCTGTCTCCTTAATAGAGGAGCATATTCGTTCCCACAATCAGAGAGGTAAATTTCACTTTGCAGTTGGCATTTACACCAAAGGGGCAAAGAAGTTAAAAGTAATATAAAATGAGAATTCTTAGCCATCGGAACAACCTTAGGAGTTTAGAATATTTCTTAGTTGCAAATAATAAAAACATGCTTTTTGTTTTGTTTTCTGCCTGTTAATAATTGCCTCTTCTTGTGCCAGCGTATAGCTTGCTTTCCAAGTGAAAGTTCAATTGGTAGATTTATATCCTGGCTATCATTAATCACCACATAATCATCTCTGTCGGTGGAGTGTCGGCAGTAGACATTTAGTCAGCCATCTTTCTTCATGGAAGTCCCTTAACTGAATTGGGTTTGTGATTTGAATTTACTGTTAGTATTTAACATTAGGAGAAAACTCAGGTGATACCTGCAAGTTCACTCTTTGTTGCAGAAATCACCACTGTTTACATAGATAAAGCCAACTCCCTTCTTAGCTTTGCTAGGAATAACTGGTGAATCAAAGCATCTATTTTGCTGATAAATGCTTGCTTACAAAAAGCTAAATGTTGACACTGTACAGCAGGGCTTTCAGTAGACTCATGATATGCTCTGGTGTGGTCTGTTGCTCTGGCTGAGAAACTGACCCACCAGGTTAGGGTGGCCAGAAGCAAGTTAAGTCCTTTATCCTTCTACAACACCTGCCATCCATTTGTCTCCCAATGAGAAGTGAATTTTGATCGTGACGGCCTTCCATGGAAAGATCTAAACTTGTCGACATCACACTGTATCAGATACCAGTTTTCTCTTCAAAAATCAAAACGGTAGAGCTGTCGAAAATCTCACTTGCTGATACTGTAAAGTGCGGATGCATGTGACGTCATTCTGAGCGTCTGCACATGTGTGAGCGGCAAAATCCTGAAGTAACCTGTTCCATTACTTCTGGGCCACCGTGGGAGGCAACCTGAAAAGATTTAACCCGAAGCGACTTTAACCTGAGATATGATTGTTGTTATTTCTCACTGATTTTCCATAGGTATTGCATTATCAAATGGTCACACCTGGAGGCAACAGAGACGCTTTATTGTAGTTACTCTGCGGAAGCTGTGGTGGGAAAAGAAAGGCATGGAGCAGCAAGTAGCAGAGGAGGCCCATCAGCTCGTGGAGGTTTTTGCACGTTCAAAGGGTATGTGATGCTAAGTGATGGTGCTGAGCTCGCATATGGAGATATATTTGTGTCCTACCTCTGTCCACTTTAGAAAGGAATGTGATATGCTTTTCTTGGTTCCTAATGGAGATCCCAGCAGTTTCTCTTGGCCCCCATGAAACCCCACTCTCAGTATGAACTGGACCAGCTGAGCTAACATTAGTATAACTTTATTTTGCAGGACAACCACTTGACCCCTCCTTGCCCATCACTACTTCAGTCTCCAACATGATAAGTGCTGTGGCTTTTGGGCACCGGTTTGCTCTTGAAGATGAAAGGCTCCAGAAGCTGATAGAAGCCATAGAATTTTCCCTACAATTTCTATGTAGCTTTGGTTATGCTGTGAGTAGTCATTTCCATTCCTGCCAAACAGGTCTCCCAAGGGCCTTAATACCACAAATCAGTATTCTGATAGAGGGTTGGAGAAGTGAGATCAGGTTTAAATTGATCTGAGATAAGGGCCACTTACTATCTCACAGCCTGATCAATTGCTCATGATTATCATTGAGATAAAAAACACGCAAACCCCCACCCCAGCAACAAAAGAAGATTTTGTCCACCACAGGAGACTCTTTGGAGGGAAGATGGGACAAAAATGAGGAACAATGAGTTGAGAACAGGTCATCTAGAGCCCACCAAGGGGAAGAGAGGTGAACAAAATAATCTCAAGAAGGGAATTACATCGTTTTGTTGCCATCATGAAAAACTAAATGTGTCTACTCTATACCCACCTAGCAGTGGCAATCATGATGACATCCATGGTGAGGCCCCTGCAGCCACCAGTTGGCTGGAATTTTTTTTAATGAAAGAGAGACCAGCAACTCAAGCACTATCGCTATTGCTGAGGAAAGCAGCCCCTTCTGGATGATCAACTAAACCCTTTCCTCAAATTTAAGTTCAGTTCTCCACATTTCTACCTCCATTCCTAATCTATATATAAAAAAAAAGTACTCATGAAACTTACTTGAATTTCCCCCCACCCCTATTCGTCACCCACCCCCACCTACCACAAAAGGGCACTAACTTGTTCCAGGAGAGGTCCTGAGATTGTGCCCAGTTTTGGAATTATGCCGGGGAGCTGGAAAAATATTTTGAGCCATAGTTTTCTTTCACATTTTCAGCTAGGGATAAATCACAGAATCCAATCATTGTGGGATTCCAGAGAAGCTGGAGAGTCTTCGTAGTGAGACTCAAACTAATATGCTAGCCCTGAAGAATAATGCAGATCATGTTTTTAAAGTGCAATTCCAAAGCACAAATGGTTTGAACAAGCTTCCTCATGGTAATGGCAGCATTTCTGCTATTCTTCCTTTAGCTTTATGAAATGCTACCATGGCTCATGAAACATCTCCCAGGGCCCCACAAGAAGGCCCTGTCCTGCATGGAGATGGTGCGTTCATTTGCAAAGGAGGAGATAGAGAAGCATAAGGAGAATCAGTCTGTGCATGAGCCACAGGATCTCATTGATTTCTATCTACTTCAGATGGAGAAAGTAAGTATCTGCTTGAAACCGAATGCTGCTCATCCAAGGAATCATTATATTCCATTTTATGAGTGAATAATAATCCTGAAAAAACAGAGAGAGGAGCTGAGGGAACTCTTTCTTTTTGGGGAGGGGAAAATAGGGGGGGATTGAGAATGATATGTTTTTGATTAATTGTTATGTTTAAATCTTTAATAAAAAATAAAAAAATAAATATAAGTAAATACTAATCTCTTGCCAGGACACCAATACCTCTCTCTGCCCCCCCCATTCCCACATAGTCATTTTAATTGCTAAAGTGAGTTGACATCCTTCCATAGGCATCTACTAAAATAGCTAGGAAAGGATAGATATTTTCATGTACAAATGTGAATGCAAATGAGTATCTGCTTCAAAACTGTAGGCAGCGCATTCAAGGAATCATTATATTCCCTGTTATATGTGAATACTAATCCCTTGCCTGGAAACCAGTACAGTGGTACCTTGGTTCTCAAACTTAATCCGTTCCAGAAGTCTGTTCCAAAATCAAAGTGTTCCCAAACTGAGGCATGCTTTCCCATAGAAAGTAATGGAAAACGAATTAATCCATTCCAGACTTTTATACACAACCTCTAAAACAGCAATTTAACGTGAATTTTACTATCTAACGAGGCCATTGATTAATAAAATGAAAGCAGTAATCACTGTACTGTACTATAAAATAAATAAAACAGTATTGTGGATGATAACAATTAAAATTAAAATTCTTTCTTACCTGCGCTGATGATAGTCATTGTTTGGATTGTGGGTTTTTATCCATTTCCGTAGTCACACAATCAATCAATCAATCAATCAATCATAAAATGAAGAACAAGCTACAGTCACAAAAATGAAAAGGCCACACAAACAAAAACGTAAAAACAAAACAAAAATAAAAGCACCAAATATAAGCTCCAAATATCACCTCAGAACACTTCAATCAGAAATGGAAGGCTTTGATTACAATTGGGGGGGGGGCGCAAATTAGCAGCGCAACAGTGAAAATGGAAGCTCAGGAGCACATTCAGATTCTGAAGCAAAGTTCGCAAACCGAAACTTCCAGGTTTGCAGCATTCAAGTTCCAAGTTGTTCGGGAACTAAGCTGTTCGAAAACCGAGGTACCACTGTGTCTTTTCCCCCCAATCTCTATTGAAAATCGCATTGAGTTTCCTCCAAATATTTCTCATAGTCAATTTAGTTGCTCATCCATCCATAAGCATCTATAGAAATGTCTAGGAAATGTGAGTGTAAAGGAGTGGAAACTTAAGTGTATTATGGGGTCTTGTTTTGGAGCATTTTTTGGATTGATGTTTATCTGACATTCAAATGTGGACTGAGAAAACAGAAAATCCAAAACAAAATATTCTTAAGTTAACTATGACTTCAAATCCCTGTCTCATCCATCTTCATATACTAGAAAGGACAAAATATATTTTCATCTTTCCCTCTTTGAACAATGCTTATTATGGTGAAAAAAGAACTGTTAAATATGTTTAGTGGGAAGTGCCATATTTCACCACATAATTGTCACATTTTTATGCAAATTATTCTTTTTCAAAAAAGGGAGTTGTGACAATTATGTGGGGAAAAACTAAGGCATGACCCTTATGCGAGGAAACATTTTTTATTAACAAACATACTTATGGTAACATTGCTTATTACTTGTTACTAACTGTTTTTGGTGTGATTAGGATGCACAGAATACTTGTGAACAGGTAAAGGTAGTCCAAATCAGGGCAAGGCAATTTCATGCACACTGAGAATGCCCTGTGACTATTGTGTGTTGAATGCTTTGGGACTGATTTTAAGGCTTGAGAAAAGTAGCTCGACTATTATGTGGTGGTGACCATTAGGCAGTGAAATACGGTAGCACACATTTGAAATATCTGATGCCAGTGTTTCCACTGGATCCCTCTCTTCATGCCACTGTTGGCTTATTACACCAACCCACAGATCCTGAAATCTAGCACTAGCAGCTACCACTGTAAATACAGGAAATTGTGTGTGGGTTTCTTTTCATAACCAGCTATGAAGCACAGGGCCAGTCCACCCATGAGGCAGGCTGTGACAGCTGCCTTGGGCAGTGGAATGCCAACAGGAGGCATCTCTGGGGGTGTGCTGCCTAGCCAGCTGCTAGTGGAGAAGCAAAGGGGACAGCTTCTGGCAAGATTTCAACAAAATCTTCCAAGATCTCACCGAGCCCCCTGTTGTTGCCACTTTGTGGACACTGCTGTGCAACCCAGGTAAGGCAGGCAGCAGCAACAGGATTTCTTCTTCATCTTTGGTGATCACTCGTAGCCAAGATTGTCTTCCATAAACACGGTTTTAACAATGAGTCCGCAAGTCACTGTGGAGGCCAATTCTGGATTCACACGTCCTTCCACAGTGGAGACATTGGTTTCCAGAAGGGAGATGATCCTGGTGTGGATTTGCCAAGCATGCCTTCCTCTTAGCAGGTTTCTCCCTTGTGTCCTGAGTTTGAGTATCTTCAAAACCCACGACACCTTTGGTAAAGGCTGTTCTCCAACTGGAGTGCTCACAGGCAAGTGTTTCCCAATTGTTGGTGTTAATGCTACATTTTAAAAAAATTGCCTTAAGACAGTCTTTAAACCTCTTTTGTTGACCACCAGCATTACACTTTCCATTTTTAGTTTGGAATAGAGTAGTTGCTTTGGAAAACGATCATCAGGCATCCGCACAACATGACCAGTCCAATGAAGTTGATGTTGAAGAATCATTGGTTCAACACTGGTGATCTTTGCTTTCAGCCTGCTCAGATTAAACAGCTTTCCATCTGTTTAATATATGATATCTACTCTGGTGGAGAGTTTCCCTTCAACAAAGTGTAGGATCATGGCAATGAAAATAATGAATAGTGTTGGGGCAATAACACAACCCTGTTTAACACCTGATCCCACTGTGAATGGTTCACTCTGAGAGCCATTGTTATCCTTGATTGTGGCTGTCATATTATCATGGAGGAGCCAAATGTTGTTCACAAATTTATCTGGGCAGCCAATCTTCAGAAGGACAGTCCACAGGGCATTATGATTTACAGTGTCAAAAGCCTTAGTTAGGTCAATAAATGCCATATACAAGGGTTGGTTTTGCTCTCAGCATTTTTCTTGAAGCTGTCTAGTGGTGAAAATCATGTCCACTGTCCCCCTAGAAGGCCAAAAACCATTTTGGGATTCAGGAAGGGTCACCTTGGATATTGTTAAGAGACGGTTTGCTAAGATCCTTGCAAGAATTTTGCCAGCCGCAGCTAATAGAGAAATGCCTCAATTCTGTCACCTTTTAAAAAGAGATTGATAATTTTGGCATCCCTATGGTCTGCTGGGATTTCTTCTCTCTCCCAGATTGTTTCGATGAGCTTGTGAAGTTGTTGTGTAAGTTCAATTCCACCCACTTTGAAGACTTCAGCAGGTATTCTGTCAGGTCCACTGGCTTTGTTGTTTTTCATTTGGTTAATGGCTGTACACAACTCTCCCAGATTAGGAGATACTGCAAGCTCATCTCTAACTTGTTTTTGCAGAATTTGTGAGAGGACCTCAGCAGCTATGGGGGAGTTGCGGTTAAGGAGATGTTGGTAATGTTCTTTCCAGTGCAGTGCAGTAGCTTCTTTATCTTTTAGAAGTGTGGTACTGTCTGCTGAGCATAGGGGGCATATGCCATGATTTATTGGCCCATACATGGTCTTTGTGGCTTTAAAGAAATTCTGTGCATCATGAGTGTCAGCTAAGCACTGGATCTCTTGAGCTTTTTTTAATCCACCAGGTGTTTTTTAGTTCTCTGGTTCTTCTTTGAACCTCAGCCTTAGCGTTGGCATAGGTTTTTTTTTTCCTTAGTGGCACAGTTTCTGTCTCTTTGTCAGATCTGAAAGGCCTTCCTTTTCTTGTCAATCATGTGTTCAATCTCACTGTCTTTCTCATCAAACCAGTCCTCGTGTTTCTTGGTTTGCTATCCGATACTTTGTTCACAGGCTGCAATAATGAATGTTTTTAGCTTGGTCCAGTGTTCCTCGATGTTATCAGGGAATTCTGAAAGCAGATGGTCCTTAAGAGTTGTTTGGAAGCAGATTCAGAAATTTGGGGAAGTGGCAGGATTTAAATTAAACAGGAATAAAACAAAATGCCAGTTAAAAACTTGAAGGAAGAAGAAAAAAAAGAATTGGAGCAAAACATTGATATAGAAGTCCATAAAAAGGTTAAATATTTAGGTATATGGCTAACATCAAGAAATATAAACTTATACAAAGACAATTATGAAAAAATTTGGCTTGAGATAAAAAGAAATTTAGAAATATGGAGCAGAATGAATCTCTCACTGTTGGGAAAAATAGTGGCAGTTAAAATTAATGCGCTTGCTAAAGTGCTATTCCCCTTCAAATCAGTCCCAGTAATTGTGAAAGATGAATGTTTTTAAAAATGGCAGAAAGAAATTTCTAAGTTAATCTGGGGGGGGGAGCAAAAGGCCAAGGATAAAATATAAGCTACTTACAGACATAAAAGATAGAGGCGGTTTTGCCCTCCCAGACCTTAAATTGTATTATGAAGCTGCATGCCTGGTATGGATTAGGGACTGGATGAAGTTGGAAAAGCAAGAAGCATTAGAATTGGAAAAACATGACAATAGATTTGGCTAGCACACATACTTATGGTATGGGAAAGGGAAGGTTCATAAAAGTTTCTATAACTATATAATTAGGAAATCATTAATGAGAGTATGGGAGAGATATAAAGATTTGTTAGAACAGAAGACCCCTTGGTGGCTTTCACAACATGAAGCTTTACTGCTCAAACCACTTGGAAAGAAAGGAAAGTGCTTTACGTATGTTGATTTGCTAAAGCATCAAGGAGGAAAATGGAAACTAAGAGATTATGAGGAAATAAAAGACCACTTTCAGAGTTGGTTACACTATTGGCAACTACATGAAATATACAAAGAAGACAATAAGAAAGGATTTAGCTATACGACATCTAGATTCCAAAAGGAAGTTGTAGAAGGGAAGGTGAAGCTGCTGAAAGGTGCATATAGTATTCTGCTAGAATGGGAAACAAAAAATGAAGAGGTGAAATCAGTTATGATTAAATGGACACAAGATATAGAACACAAAATAATGTTTGAAGTTTGGGAAAGATTGTGGAAAACTGATTCAAAATATACAGATTGCTCTTTGCTGAAAGAAAATTACATGAAAATGATGTATAGATGATATATAACATGAGTGCAAATAGGAAGAATGTATAAAACTGGTTCAACTATGTCTTGGAAATGTATGGAAAAAGAAGGGACTTTTTACCATATGTGGTGGGATTGTAGCAAAATTAAAAAAATTCTGGGAAATGATATACAATGAGTTGAAGAAAATGTTCCAATTAACATTTATAAAAAAGCCTGAAGCATTTTTGTTAGGGATTGTAGGAAAAGACCTGCCAAGGAAATTGAAAAACATCTTCATGTATGGGACAACAGCGGCAAGAGTCTTAATAGCACAAGGATGGAAAAATGAAGAAATCCTGACCAAAGAACTGTGGCAAGAGAAACTGATGGATTATGCGGAACTGGTGAAATTGACATACAAACTATGTGATAAGGACAGCTGTGATTTTAAAGAAGAATGGGAACCCTTTACAAAGTACTTAAAGAAACAAGAAAATGAACTGGACTCCTTGGCAGGTTTTGAAGAAACATTCACAACCCTTTTATTGGTAATATATAGATAGATAAATTAAGGATATCTACAATTTTATAACATGCAGAGATATTATGTGCTGAAAAACCAGAGAGAGAAGCTGAGGGAAGTCAGGGTGGGTGGGAGGGTGGTTTTTTTCTTTTTGGGGAAGGGGGAGGGAAAATGGGGGGGGAATGAGGATGATGTATTTTTGATAAAATGTTATGTTGAAATTCCTAATAAAAATATTTTAAAAAAATAGAGTTGTTTGGAAGCAATCCCGGTTAATGGGATCTTGAAGGGCTTGAGTGTTCATTTTGCACCTTGGTTTCCTTCCTTGAAGCCTGTGTTGAGGTATAATCTTGATAGCCATCGTGGAACGTATTAGTCGGTGATCTGTCCAGCATTTGTTGGCACTCGTCATGGCTCTGGTAAGGAGCACATCATGGAAATCTTTAGCACAGACAATAACATAGTCTAAGAGGTGCCAGTGGTTTGACTGAGGATGCCTCCATGAAGTTTTAAATTTAATTTTTTTGTTGAATGAGTGTGTTGGTAATAGTAGCCTGTTGGTTTTTGGTGAGTTTACCAGAAGTCTGGTAGGGACTTCTGACAGGAGCTTTACAAGATTGTTTTTGATAGCGAAGCCTACCTCATGTATTTGACATTCTTGTTCAGATAGACCTTTCCAGAAGAATGTGTAGCCTCCTTTTTCTTCCTTCAGTTGTCCCTTGCCTGCTCTTTGAGTCTCTTGAAGCACTGCAATATTGATGTTAAAACGTCAAGTCTCTCTTGCAATGATGGCAGTTCTGTGTTCAGGATGCTCATTATCTGTGTTATATCTGTCCATATATTCCATGTTCCAAAGTTCAATTGTCTTTTACCACCGCTGGGTGGTGACCCCACTGGGCGTGGTAATCCAGTCAGGGAAAAAAAGAGGCAGACTATGTTTAGGGCACCTTTTCTAGCCTCTCCCCCATTTTGGAGTGAACAGAGTAGATCCTAAAAAGGGCTGCTCAGTCATGGATACAGCTGCCGAGCTGCTCAACTGCCTTGTTCCTTGAGTCAGAATGACTGAATCTGTATCCACCGCCCATGTGCTGTTTCATGACTAAGGGCTTCCAGATTTCACAATCCTGCCCCTGTTACCATATGCTGATCACCATGGAACTTTGGGTGTTTGGGTTTGGGATGGGTTTTTTTGGAAGACGCCTGTACATGAATTTGTTTTATGTCTGTAGATCAGTGCACACTAACCAATGAACAGTCTTCGCAGTAAGGCTCTGTTCTGATGGCATGAGTTGTCATTGCGACCGGTAAATTCCATTGTAACATACCACTTGTTATCACCCGCCTGTTCTGCCGTTGATGACTTCTTGGATCATTCTTTGTCTAGCTCCTCCCCTTTGACCTTACTGCCTTGGGGGACCCTGCTGGGAGTATGAGATTCCCAATGGCTTCACTCACAAGGGTCATAGGAATGTGCAAGCCCACTCACCATGAAAAGGTGATGATCCAGCAAGTGAGGGCAGCAACAGTAAGGGGGGTGGCAGCAGCTTCCCATTTCACCTTAGGCACTATAAGAGGACACCCCACCTCTCATGAAGCATGTGTGGGTGGTATGGTAATAATTGGGGGAAAGAAGGTAAAGTGCTGAAGGACAGAATGTAATGCATGTAAATGACATGTCACTTTCCCCATTTTCAACACCAGAGCAGGAATGACCCAGAGTCCACCTATGATGAAGAAAACTTGGCCCAGTGCATTTTTGACCTCTTTGTAGGAGGGTCGGACACAACCAGGGGTTCTTTGCAATGGGCACTTCTCCTCCTGGCAAGTCATCCAGATATCCAAGGTGAGAGAGGAGAGCCAGGGCTTCTCTTGACCACTAGGGTGGAGCATAGTTCTTTAAAGGTGTCATATCGGAAAGAGTTAAAAGTGAGTTTATGATGTAAATTATGGAAGGTAAACGATATCGAAATAAGCTAAATGTTTTTGACTTTCATGTCTGGAAAGATATTTTCCCCACCAAGATTTTCCTACATAGTTTCTAGAACCTATAATTAACAGAAGGAAAAAAGTAAAATGCCCAGAAAGCTGGGACTGGGGGGAAACCATGGGCCTTGCCCTACATTCACTGAATGAGCAGAATAGTCAAGTAACAGAATAAAATGTCTCTAGGAAGTTTATAGTTGGAGATGAGTTTCATGGCAATGCTCTGTCATTTGTCATAAGGAAGCCTACAATAGTAGGGTTGGAAGGGACCCCAGGGGTCTTCTAATACAACCCCCTGCAATGCAGGAATCAACACATTCCCCCCCTCCAGTTTGATACCATACCACAACCTGTTTTGTTTTGCAAATCTGCTAGCAGTTTCTTTATGCAGCAAATGTACAAGAATGCCCCTGCTGTGAAATAAGTAACTGAGCCTCATTCCTGCCTCTCCATGCTCCATTACATGAGGGATGCGGGTGGCACTGTGGTCTAAAGCACTGAGCGTCTAGGGATTGCTGATTAGAAGGTTGGCAGTTCGAATCCATAAGACAGGTGAGCTCCTGTTGCTCTGTCCCAGCTTTTGCCAACGTAGCAGGTCGAAAGCATGCCAGTGTAAGTAAACAGGAAATATTGAGGGCTGGGGGTGGAGAATGAATATATGACAGTCTTTGATCCCAGCCCTTCAGCAAATCCAGACAGTTCTGGCAACCAGAAACTACTGAGATGAGCTTCACTTTCAACCTTTTCTTACCTGGGATCTAAGCGGGGAAGGACCATATAGACTGACTTAAACTCTTTGGAGGACGAGGTGGGCTTTGAATGCAAGAACTTGGGACTCATTCACAGAGATTTATGGAATATGTTCAAGGGAAATAAATGTCCAACTGAAATAAAATGCAGTATTAACAATCATTATCTGTTTCCGTCATTCTCTTCAGATAAAATGCACAAGGAAATAGAAGATGTCATAGGTTCTGCTCACTCAATCTGCTATCAAGATAAGAAGAAACTGCCCTACACCAATGCTGTGATTCATGAGATGCAGCGCTTTAAATTTGCCAGTTTTTGGGGTTCCCTAGGCAATGTACAAAGGATTTGAAGCTGCGTGGTTTTCTCATTCCCAAGGTATAACAGTATGATACAGCTGCACTCCTGTAGCCCAAGAACAAAGAGCAGCAAAAGGTTGCATATTGAGAGATGCAGCCAGCCGTACAGGAACTTCCTGTCTAGTCAAAAATCTGAAGGGCAAGAGCAGGAGCTCCATCTGCAGACATGTTTCACCATCAGCAAGTGCCATTCCATGGGGCAATTGTGGCAGGGGAGAAGCATGTAGTGGCCAGAGGTCTCAGCCTGCTTGTGAGCTTTCATTTTAAAAGAGGTGGGGGAAAGTCCCCTTGTGTCCTGCCTGTACAGAAAGTTTTTACAGTGATGAATACAAAGCCACCCACCAAAATAATAATAATAATAATAATAATAATAATAATAATAATAATTCAGATCAGTATCTGCAATGATTAGTCTTGGGATAGTGTGGGACTTATTGTATTGATGTGAATGCATTCCAAGTCACTTGTTTCTTATTTGCAGGGGACTATGATTATTCCCGATCTGCGCTCTGTTCTTCTTGATCCAACACGATGGGAGACACCTGCAGAGTTCAACCCAAATAATTTTTTGGACAAGGATGGACAATTCGTGAACAGAGAAGAATATCTGCCATTTGGTGCAGGTAAATTCAGAAGACCAAGCTATGTTGTGATCTGTAGATGTGCTTACTGGTCTGCTTCCAGGAAATGACATCAGCAGCAGCACAGGAGGGAGTGGGCCGGAGCAGAAGGAGCATCTTTCTAGCTGGAGTGGCACTGCTGGTCAGCAGAATGGGGCAAGGCACTGGCAAGTTAAGGGGATCTCTAGGTTGGTGGCTTGGGACCAGAGCCATAGCTAGGTGATCTTGCGCCCCTGACAGAACTGTCCAGATTGCGCTCCCTTGTTGTTGTTGTTTAGTCGTTTAGTCGTGTCCGACTCTTCGTGACCCCATGGACCAGAGCACGCCTGGCACTTCTGTCTTCCACTGCCTCCCGCAGTTTGGTCAAACTCATGCTGGTAGCTTTGAGAACACTATCCAACCATCTCATCCTCTGTCATCCCCTTCTCCTTGTGCCCTCCATCTTTCCCAACATCAGGGTCTTTTCCAGGGAGTCTTCTCTTCTCATGAAGTATTGGCGCCTCAGCTTCAGGCTCTGGCCTTTCCAGGGCTGATTTCCTTAAGAATGGATACATTTGATCTTCTTGCAGTCTCCTCCAGCACCATATTTCAAAATAATCAATTCTTCGGCGATCAGCCTCTTTATGGTCCAGCTTTCACTTCCATACATCACTACATACTGGGAAAACCATCGCTTTTACTGTACAGACCTTTGTTGGCAATGTGATGTCTCTATTTTTTAAGATGCTGTCTAGGTTTGTCATTGCTTTTCTCCCAAGAAGCAGGCGTCTTTTAATTTCGTGGCTGCTGTCACCATCTGCAGTGATCAGTGTAACATTCATATAGATATTAAAAAGCATGGGGGAGAGGACGGAACCCTGAGGCACCCCACAAGTGAGAGCCCAGGGGTCTGAACACTCACCCCCCCCCCACTTTCTGGACACGGCCCAGGAGGAAGGAGTGGAACCACTGTATGACAGTGCCCCCAGCTCCCAGCCCCTCTAGACGGTCCAGAAGGATGTTATGGTCGATGGTGTCAAAGGCCGCTGATAAACATTCTGAATAACACTTTGGCAAAACAGACATAGTTAGGATAGGGAAAACATCAAGGCTGCTGTCAATTGTCTAGCCTGGTCAGTGCTAACCTTTTTTTCTTCTTGCTATACTTATGTTTTGTTCCCATCTCATATCAAGGAAGATACATTCAGGAAGAGGATGGATTGAAGATGAAGGGTCCTGTGGGAGGGGCAGGGCAGAGAGCATCTCCCAGGGCTAGAAGCCAGTGTAAGAGGGTCTAGCTCCCAGTGAGAACTGGGAGGGCTCACTTTTCTGTGTGCAGAATAAGGGTGAAGATTTAATTTTGATAGAGGACCTTGTAATTTCCTTTATTTCTTTTCAATCTTTTCTTCCTTTCCTATTTTTTTTATTTTCCCTTTTAGATTAGCATGGCTATTATTGTGTCTCACGCATAAAACGTTCAATAAAACTTGATTTTTAATAATGAAAGGAAAACTTTGGTCAACTGCCCAAATCAGCAATGCAGAAAGGGGTTAAGACCATGAGCAAACTGTCCTGCCAGGTTTACTTTACCTTGGTAGGAACTAGCATTGCTGCCTGAAGAGAAGTTGGGTGGCTTGCAGTGGTGATGTGTGACAGGGAACAGCAGTATCCTGGTGCTTGCAGTGCTGCTTCTCTCAGGGACAGGGCAGGAGTGGCATATGTAGGGAGGTCCAGATGGTAAACAATGGAGGCCCCATAGTTGTATGTGCACGTGTGGGTCCCAAGTAGGGCCGTAGCTAGAGGGTGGTGATATGGGCCCCCACCAGGGGCGCAGAATCGGCTAAAAATATGTCACCTTCTCTTTCTCTAGCAGTAGCAGCAGCAGCAGCAGCAGCTGGATCCCGCAGCCCTGCACCACAGCGGGTATGGAGGGGAAAGGAGCACAGCGCGGCTCCCTCAGACAGCACATTCGCTTTCCCACCTCAGCTGGAACGGACCATTGGGAATCTCGGGCATAGGGGATCCTGCTGCTGCTGCGAATGCTGCCACCAGTAGCAGGACGCTGCTTGCCTCCCTGGCTGCTTAAGAGCGCTTCTCTCCCCTCCACCTTTCTCACTTTCTTACCCACCCCTCTGCCTTTCTCACTTCCTGGTTTTTGCGGGACTTCTGAAGAATGCATGCTCCAATCGCATGGCTGAATCGTTACCTTAGGGTAGCAGCCAGGCAGGGCAGGGCGATCGCTCCAAGGGTGGATCGAGCGCTTGGATGGGGAACGAAAAGAAAAAAAGGGGGGGAGGAACAGGCGGGAGAGGAGAGGAGAGAGTGGAGATTTGCCTTGTGTTGGGTTGAAATAACGAGAGACGAGTAGCAAGTGTCATGTGAGAGGCATCTCTCGAGCAAGCCCCGAGGAGACTCTTTTATTGAATATTACAACATTGCCACAGGTGCGCTCGTTGCTGATTGGTCGGCACAAACACAAAGCAACTCGTTGCTGATTGGTTAACACAAGTACAAAGCAAAGGTTACATATAGGCATTAATCACCAATAGATTAAAGGCTGGGAAAGGGAGCACAGAACTAGACAGGCATGAAACCTCCTAATTAAATTATAACTAGTGATTGATGTAGCAAGACTAAAACAATTACTAATGATTGATCATAACATGAAAGAATATAATAATCGCGTTCCATAGATGTGGTCAACTATGCATTAAGAACAGGTCAGTATAATGTATTCATGAACTTAATATGAACTGAACATCCTAGGGAGATGAGGGAATGTCTTGGTATTTAGAACGGGTTGTGCAGCATGTGCAGAAGCAGAGAAAAGCTTAGAAGCAAGACTTCCCATCATGCCACGGTCATGTGCAGAAGCAGAGCTTCCCTTCAGCCTTGAGCATCAATTGTTAAGTTATTATGCTTTTGTGTGTGACTTCTGCGGAAACGCACAAACGCGTCCTCGCGCCAACTGGCTAACTTACAAATCTGCCCCGTAATCTCCTCTCTGAAATGAAACATTCCAAGCAGGGAGGCTCATCGGCAATCCAGTAGCCTTTCTGAGAAAGGGAAAGATTTTGTTTCCGACTGCAATCTATTTATATGGAATTGCACAGTGCAAACGGCAAGGCTAGCTGTTTATGCTTTTCCTCATGTGATGTGAATAGAAATATTGTTTTGCAAGGTGGAATAGCCTTTGCACAGAGAAAGAGGGAGGGGGGAGTCAAACGCTTACAATGCGAGCTGAAAATAGGGTGGTAGTCAACTAAGCTTTACTCAGAGTAGACCCATTAAAATGAAGGACTATGACTAAGTCAGGTCCATTAATGTCAACAGTTGGCCTTCTCTGAGCTGACTACTGTCCAGAGTTTCTTTCAGACGAATAGACTGTGATCCTGGGTCCTAGTATGGCTCCACTGAAGGAGGGAGAAACATACTCTGTTGATGTGCATGAGCTAATTTAATTTGAAACATTCACTGAAAGCAAAATCTCTTTTGAGAATAAAAGTCCTATATGTTTCCGAAAGGTCATGTTCATGCCTTAGAATCTAAGGTGGCCCCCAGATGTTGGTGGGTTCCAACTCCCATCAGACCCAGATAGCACAGCCAAAGGCAGGGACGATGGGTGTTGTAGTCCAACAGCATCTGAAGAGCCTACAAAAGCAAAGCAGGTCTGGTCTGATCAGATGTTTTCAAACTTGCTGAATACTCAGTGCCTATTGAACCAATGATATCTGTAGTCATTATTTAGCACTTGAATACTGAGCAGTTAGGCATAATCTAATCCACAAATATCCTTGCAATAATCAGGTCAGTCAAGCCCCAAGCCAGTATCCCAAGACCCAAGCATATCTGTGGAAATAGTTGAGCTCAGTTTCCTAAACCCTTGTCTTATACCATCCATCTACACATATTCTGGAAACAAAAGTTACTGAAACAATTTGTTGTTCCATACCTATATATCTCCATGAAAAACATGTTTATTAAAAGCTGACTATTTATTTTCTGTTTCTATTTCTTATTTTCTATTTCTTATTTTCTCCCAGACTTAGAAAGATTGTCCACCAACTGGGAAAACCAACATCTCTCAACTTTCAATTTCCCTGATTCTAAAATTGGATTTATTTTTTGTTTGTTTTAGTGAATCTATCGCACTAATTTTCAAGATTAGTGAAGCACACAGCCAAGGACTCTGTAAGCTAAATGTGCTACATATATAGTAAATGTATAATAAACCGATAGCTGGAGGTTTGCAGAATTTGTAGCACTTTTAGTTGAGGTGGTCAAGTACCGTATATGCATTTGGAGAGTGCCCTAAATTCCATACTGACAGACACTTCAGGTGATTTACACAAATTGCATACTTTAGTAGTACTTTGATCTGCTTTGTTATGTGAAGTATCACAGACTGTCAGAAATTATCTAGGTAAATGTTTTATCTGTGTTAGCAACAGTTCTTTTCTTTTGAAGAGTTGGAAGTATGTCTACAATAGTGTTGTGCAATTCATTTTTAACTTAGGCATTTTGTAAGCTCTCTGTTAGAGTTGCTTTTTAGCCTAACATTTTTGTCACACCTCTTATACGCATGCTTCAAATCAGTGGCATGCAGTGAAATTTTCCGTAGGGGAACAGTTAGGGCCTGAGGTGTCGGCTTCCAAGGGTAATTGTGGGGAAGACGTCATGTATTTGAGCATTGCGCCTCCCTCCCTAAGCCAGGCAGAAGCTTCCTGGTCTTTGAGAAGGAGGCGCCAGTGGAACATATAGGGGACTAGCCTAGTCCCCCCAGGTCCACTGACAGCACATGACTGCTTCAAACATTATGCAGCAATCAATCCTTGTTTGCACAGCCCATTTGAAATATACTCGGAGTCGAGAGTGGATTTCATGCTCTTTATTCAGCTCATAGTGGTGAGGAGGAATGGGAGTCCCGGACTTCCGGGGTGGCGCCATCGGCAATGGCGGACTCCCTCTGATCTGGAGGGACTAGCTCCATGTGAAACGGGTCTTTTCCGCTACGGCGAGCAGGGACCCTTACAAAAATCACAGGCGGATGAAGCCTGTGACCATGGGACTCGGCGGGCACCCTTAGTGCCCCCCCAACCCGCAAAGGAACCCACTAACGGGCTCCAAAGCGAAGAGGGGGAAGTGGCGCGGTGCTGAGAGTCAACTGCTTCTTCCGTGGAGCGAAGCCACATAGCCGTTGCCGGAGAGCGCTGCCTTTTTCCTGGGACAATTTGGCTTCTAAAATAATCACCCGTGAGTACTTAAATTTCGGACAACTGGACTTTAAATAAGGACTTGCGAGCAGAAAGGAATTGGACTTAAAAATTTACTTCAATTTGGCACTGAAACGGGAAGGTCTAAACAGGAAGTCAGCCTTCCGTTTCTTTGTAGACAGATTAAAGCAAAGACAAGGTAAACTAGAGCTCAGAAAATCAATTCTAAAAGATTAACTTTCATCATTTTAAATTGTTGAACCCCCTTCGGAAGCAGGAGAAGAAGGGGATCTTTTTCAGACTGTTTAAACCTGCAGAAGTGAGTTTAAAGTAAAGTAACTTTCCACCGTCTTGATCCTGGAGTGGGGTGTCAAGACTGACGTTCTTTTTTGAAGCTCATTGACCAGAGACAACCGTTTTTGACAGATAGCTAAAAGAAGAGAAACATAGTGATTCCACTGTTCCCCTTCGCATTTTAAAGGAACAAATATTGACAAAATATCTGAAAAAGGAAACTTTGTTGCTAGATTTGTCCTTAAAAGAAAGAACAAATAGAAGTTTTCCCCTTAGAGGAGACTGTGAAACTGTAACCAATTCCAGGGAGCTTGCAGCTGTTACAGATTACAATCGTGGGAATAGACTTCTGACCTTGAAGGACAATGTATTCAGAAGCTCTGTTGTGTGCTCTCTGTAAAACAAATGCCCTACTGGAACAATTAAATGAGAAGACGGATTTGATGACTGATGCGATCAGAATTTTTGAACAGGCAGTGGGAAACTATATGGAGCCCACCCAGGAATTAAATCAGGAGCGTTCCCGACAGAACAGATGAGAGAAGAGGATGTTGCTGAATCTTGGGCGCCAGAGATGGAGGGAGCTGTGGCCCTGCAGGAACATCAGCTTTTGGATTTGACAAATGAACTTGGAAAAAGCCAGATTTGGAAAGATAAAGTTTGGACTGGTTTGGAAATGGGGGGTTGGATAGACCCCCCTATGCAGGGATGTTTGGACTTTTCAAGTCTGGCAATGGGCCGTGAGCTGTTTGGGGCTATGGGGGCTCTTAATTTTGGAGGGATTCTGAAACATGTTTTTAAATACCACATGGAGTTTAGTCTGGACTATGGAAAAGGGGCTGATTTGTTGAAAAGGGTCAAAAACATTGCCAAGCTGGAGTTGCCACGAGTGAAAGGAGAATATGAAGAAGAGCCGCGGAAGGGACATGGAAGGGACTTAAGGGCCTCGGATATAAGGTTACCAGGTTAATGCGCTAGATCATTGGGATAAAAAGGACTGACAAAACCCGGGACCAGGAGGAAGGGACGCTGGATGAAGATTGGATTGTTTTTATTTCTTTTTTTATTACTAGGATTGTTTTATAAAATTGATGAATGTTAGAAAAATGTTGGAACGAAATTACTTGGCTTTAGCAAAAATGTTTAAAGAATTAGGTAAGAATATTATGGTTATGAGAAATTGGTAAAAATAAGATTTAAGTTTTAAGGTTCTTTATAAGATAAGATGAAAATAGATTAAGGTAATGTAACAACAGAATATTATGAAATATGGAAAGGATTTGCTGCGACAATTAACAAGTAGGATACAGAAAAAGGGAGGAGGAGGAGGTCAAAGAAAGAAGGTAATGAAAGTTGAGGATTCGAGAATGATGGATTTGTTTTTGTGTGTTTGTGGTGTATTTTTGGTTTTTTGAATTTGTATTGTTTGATGTGGTTTGTTTTTTTCTTTGTTTTTTCCTTTTTCTTTTTCTCTTTTGTTCTCTTTTGTAATTCTAAAAAATTTTCAATAAATATCATTAAATAACAAAAAAGAGGAGGAATGGGAGTCCCCTCCCCCCGAATGTCTGCTTTATATACATAATTTACACAATGGGCCCCACGTGATTGGCTAATTCTGGGATTCTGCTGTAGGCCAATCAGGTTGCGGATTCACTTCCACCTGGAGCTGGATGGGGTGGCTCCTGTGCACCAATCAGACTACTCCATTCTGGATCCTATTGTTCTAGGACCAATCAGACTGCTGCATTCTGAATCCTATTGTTCTGGGACCAATCAGACTGCTGCATTTTGGATCCTATTCAACTCAGTACATAACACCATTTCAACTCCCTGGTGAGCAGCAATTTATACACCAGTTTCTGCTGCATTAAGAGATGTTTATCCCGATATCAAAATACAGTCATACCTCATTTTGCAGCAGGGATCCGTTCCGGAGCCCCAGCCACTAGCCGAAAAGGATGCAGGGCAAAGTGCTGTGTCTGTGCACACGCGTGGAGCTGTTTGCACTTCTGTGCATGCATGAAGTGCGATTTACCGCTTCTGCACATGTGCAAGCGGCAAACCCGGAAGTAACCCATTCTGGTACTTCCGGGTTGCCGTGGACATTCACCGCAATGGACGCTATTCAGGGCGGATGTTCGCAGAGGTATTACCGTAGCACTGAGAATATTTCTCACTATGCCAGGAAGTGTAGCATCTTGTGAACATAGTTTTAATAAGTTAAAACTCATACAAAACTACTTAAGATCAAATATGAGTGAAACCAGACTAACAAGTCTAGCAATCCTGTCCATCGAGTATGAACTAGCATCAAAAACAGATTTTGATGAAATTACTGAGTCTTCTTCGATTAAAGCTAGAAAAATAAAGTTCTAATCACATCAGACTTCATTGAGGAGATTCCTACTTAAAGCCAGAGTCGGCCTAACTTTACTTTTTAAAAAGATTTCAAATAACAACTCTTCTGAACAAGAACTTGTAACGTGACTTGTGAATAATGTTAATAGTGTTCTTATTTATATCAACCAAATACCACAGATATTGTGAAAGCAATGCCATTTTACATCATATAGTATTATAATATAAAGTTATCATTGTGAAATAAATCAGTATGATATTTTTCTACATTTCATTTAGGCCTATCTGTATACTGTTTTACAACTTAATTACATTAAAAAAAACTGTCAACTGCCATCTAAATGTCATTTGTTTTCCTGAAACTTTTTATTAAGACATAATAAATTAAATATTGTATTTTCTGGGAAAGAATTCAATACAAGGTGAAGTGTGTGGGGAATTGAATGGCACAGGGTGGGGTGGGGTGGAGGAGAGGCGGAAAGAAGAGCTAATTTATCCATGGCTAGGGAGCGCAATCTGGACAGTTCTGTCAGGGGTGCAAGATCACCTAGCTATGGCTCTGGTCCCAAGCCACCAACCCAGAGATCCCCTTAACTTGCCACTGCCTTGCCCAATTCATATAGATATACAGAACAAAACATAAGTATAGCAAGAAGAAAGGAAGGTTAGCACTGACCAGGCTAGAAAACTGACAGCAGCCTTGATGTTTTCCCTATCCTGACTATATCTGTTTTACCAAAGTGTTATTCAGAATGTTACTACAAAGCAATGAACCTGGGAAAGTAAATTATTGCTCACTTACCCTCTTCTTCTTGTCTCCTCTTCAGGGTCTCGCATATGTTTGGGAATGCAGATGGCAAAGATCGAAATATTCATCTTCCTGACCAGCCTGCTGAGGGCATTTAGTTTGCAGCTGCCAGAAGGAGTCAAAGAGCTCAATCAAGAGGCTATAATAGGGACTACAGCACATCCCCATCCTTATAAACTCTGTGCTGTTCCCCGTTGCAACACATAAGAAAATAGGAAAATATTAGGGGCTGCACCCCTGCTTCCTGCACTTGGTGACCCCTTGGCCACTCCTGACACATGAACCTCCTAGCATTTCCCCTTCCCTTCCCATCTCATCCCATGCAGCTACTGAGGTCTCTTTTCACCTTCGCAGCTCCATTTCTGAAGCCACTTCTCTCTTATTTTCTGCAGCTCTGCTTTGCATCCATTTTCCCCTTCACCCCATCTCCTCCTTTTCTTTAGGCCCTTTCATGCCCCTGCTTTCATCTTCATCCCTCTCCCAATGCCTCCTTACTCCCTCCTTTTTGACAACTTCCTTTGCATCCCCATTCTTACTCTTGCTCCCTTTTCTCCTCCCCCTCCTCCTTACTTTTCTCAAATCTCCCTTACACACACATTCCCACACCTCCTCCCCTCTCCCTCTTCTGCAGCCCCCTTCTAACACCCCCCATGCTATGCTATTGTATCTTTAAGATGAGTAGACTCCTAAGAGCAAGGCTATCAGCTTCTCCAGTTGAAGAATGTTAAGTTTCTTTGATGGATACTGTAAATGTGTGCTTGTTAATAAAATATCTCTTCTAAATTACTACATTGAACCCGGAACCCAGAACGCGGACCACACAAGGTATCAGGAGTGAAATAGGTTGTGTGGAGGCACTATGCAATATTTGAAGGCTTCACATCCTTTATCACAGTTAAGGAATGGAAGGAGGAGAAGTTTGAAACAGAAGTTCCCCTGACTTCCACTAGCCTTTCCTTCAATGGCAGAAGTTTGAGTAAAATGGAGATGGTGGAAAACTGAGATAACTGTGGCTTTAGGAATAATGGAGGGATGGAGGAACACTGAGCAATTGGTGTGTGCGTGTGTGTAACATTTTAACAAGGAGAAACAGCAGAGATGGGTACGGAAGCAACCACCCAAAAGCTACGAAAACAGAAGAATGAAATGGAAAGTGGAATTAAAGAGGACAAAGAGACTTTGGAGAACAATATGGATGAAGGATTGCCAGAACAGAAGGATGAAATGGTGGAGCTGGAGGCAACAGATGGTGTAATGAAGAAGTCCTTCACAAAAGGTGACTAGAGGACTGAAACAGCCAAATGGCAGTGTTGTGATGTTGGAGGAGTGGAAGGAAGCCACAGATGGAGAGATGAAGAGACATCCTAAACTGGCAGAGATAGAGTTGGGAGAGAATAATAATAATAATAATAATAATAATAATAATAATAATAATATAATTATTTATATCCCGCCCTCCCCAGCCGAAGCCGGGCTCAGGGCGGCTAACAACAATAATACAGTACAAAAGTACAGCACAAACAACACTCTAAAATCATTCATTATAAAATTAATTAATTCAAGCCACTGGCAACCATTGGGCCAGAGCTCAGCGAAGATTGCCGAGGGAGGGAGTCAGGCTGTGTCCTGGCTAAAGGCCTGGTGGAACAGCTCTGTCTTGCAGGCCCTGCGGAAAGATGTCAAGTCCCGCAGGGCCCTGGTCTCTTGTGACAGAGTGTTCCACCAGATCGGAGCCACGGCCGAAAAAGCCCTGGCTCTAGTTGAGGCCAGCCTAACTTCTCTGTGGCCTGGGACCTTCAAGATGTTTTTATTTGAAGACCGTAAGTTTCTCTGTGGGGCATACCAGGAAAGGCGGTCCCGTAGGTATGAGGGTCCTAGACCGTATAGGGCTTTAAAGGTTAAAACCAGCACCTTAAACCTGATCCTGTACTCCACCGGGAGCCAGTGCAGCTGGTATAGCAACGGGTGAATGTGATCTCGCAGCGAAGACCCCGTAAGGAGTCTCGCTGCAGCATTCTGCACCCGCTGGAGTTTCTGGGTCAGTCTCAAGGGCAGCCCCACGTAGAGCGAGTTACAATAATCCAGTCTGAAGGTGACCGTCGCGTGGATCACAGTGGCTAGGTCAGGGCGAGAGAGGTAAGGAGCCAACTGCTTAGCTTGGCGGAGATGGAAAAATGCCGCCTTTGTTGTAGCTGCAATCTGCGCCTCCATGGAAAGGGAGGTGTCGAAAATTACACCCAAACTCTTAACGGACGGTGCTGGCATTAATTGCGCCCCCGCAAGAGATGGGAGTTGCCCCCCCAATCCCATATCGTCCCGTCCCAGCCACAGGACTTCTGTCTTCGAAGGATTTAGCTTCAACCGGCTCCCACATAACCATCCTGCCACAGCTTCCAAATATCTAGTCAGTGTGTCTGGGGCCGAGTCAGGATGGCCATCCATCAACAGATAGAGTTGGGTGTCATCAGCATACTGATGGCAACCCAGCCGAAAACTCCGGACAAGCTGGGCGAGGGGGCGCATAAAGATGTTGAAAAGCATCGGGGAGTATCGCACCCTGAGGTATTCCACACACCAAGGAGTGGCGCGATGACAATTCCCCCCCAAGCGCCACCCTCTGTCCCCGACCAGAGAGAAACGAGCGCAGCCATTGAAGGACTGTGCCCTGGATCCCCACGTCCAGAAGTTTGTGATTGACCATGTCGAAAGCTGCTAACAGATCTAGAAGAATCAGCAGCCCCGACCCACCTCAATCCAGCTGTCTACGAAGATCATCTGTTAGGGCAACCAGAGCCGTCTCGGTCCCATGACCAGCGCGGAAGCCGGACTGGAATGGATCCAGAGCCGATGTTTCATCCAGAAACCCACCAAGCTGTTCTCTCAATCACCTTACCCAGGAACGGAAGATTCGAAACCGGGCAGTAATTGGATAGATCTAAAGGATCTAATGATGTTTTCTTTAAGAGCGGGCACACCACTGCCTCCTTCAGTTCCCCTGGGAATGTCCCCGTGCCAAGGGACAAATTGATGATGTCCCCCAGGAGGGCCCGCACCTCGTCTGGACACGCTCTAATCAGCCAAGACGGGCACGGGTCAAGAGGACAGGTGGTGGGCTTTCCAGCTCGGAGGAGTCTGTCCACATCGGCTGGGGATATCCGGTCGAAGTGGTCCAATACTGGACCCGAGGACAGTCGAGGGGCCTCCAGTTCCTTTATTGTATCCAAATTGGCAGGGAGGTCATGGCGGAGCAACAAGACCTTCTCCACAAAAAAAGCTCGCAAATGCCTCACAGCTAAGTGTCAAATTGTTATTTAAATTTGGCTGTCCCTCAAGGGACGTTAAAGACCTGATTATACTAAATAATTGCGCCGGGCGAGAGCTAGCGGATGCAATGGAGGCCGAGAAGTAAGACTTCTTAGCAGCCTTCACCGCCATCTCGTAGGTTTTCATAAAAGCCCTATAAGATGGTCTTGAGGCTCCGTCACAGGCACCCTGCCATACTCGCTGTAGCCGTCTGAGGTCCCGCTTCATTTTCCAGAGCTCCTCGGTAAACCAGGGAGCCCGGTTTCTGCGGGGTCGCAGAGGGCACTTAGGTGCGATCTCATCGATGGCTGCCAGGAGCTGGATATTCCAGCCCTCAACAAGCTCAGTCAATGAGTCGCCAGGGGGAGCAAGGTCCCGCAAGGCTTGGCGGAATCTATCAGGGTCCATCAGCCTCTGCGGGTGAGCCCAAATGGGCTCACCACCTAAGCAGGGTGGGGGTGGAAAGTCAATCCTGGCTTTCAGAGCGTAGTGATCAGACCATGGCACCTTCATCGAAGGAGACATGATCACATCTATACCTACGCCAAAGATCAAATCCAGTGTGTGGCCTGCTTGATGTGTGGGGCCCAAAACAAACTGGGAGAGCCCTAGTGTCGCCATGGAAGACACCAGGTCCAGAGCCTGTGAGGAGGGAGTGGCATCAGCATGGATGTTGAAGTCCCCCAAGACCAATAGGTTAGGGAACTCCAAGGCCTAGCCGGCCACCACCTCCAATAGGCCTGACAGGATGGCTGCTGGTGCGCTAGGTGGCCGGTACACCAGCCAGACAGCCAAGCTCTCCTCGGAGCCCCACACTAAGCCAACACATTCAATGCCGGGGATCGATGGCGATGGTAGAGCCCTGAAAGGACAATCTTCCCGGATTAATAATGCCACCCCTCCCCCCTGGCCCACAGTCCGCGACTGATGGAGGACAGAGAAACCCAGGGGCGCCATCTCTCGTAAGGTAACTGTTGCCCCTTCGCACACCCAGGTCTCCGTCACACAAGCCAGGTCGACCCCCTGCGAGATTTCTTTGTTGTTTTGTTGCCTATAGACCTGAGTAATCCTTGCTCACCCTACCCTCGTCCCTCGGGATGAGGGGCAGATAGGAAGGGGTACGAGCATATCCATATCTCGATCCCCTTCACCTATAACATCTGCCCCCACCGCCATACCTCCCTCGCCCCTCCACGGTAGCAATCCCAAGCCTCATAGTAGCCTCCATTGATGGCAATTAATGTTATTCTTTTGCAGCCTAAAACAATAAAACCTTAAAACAATAAAAACAAAAAACAAAAACAACCCGGAAAACAATAAAACAATACAAATAAAAACTGCAAAAATTACAAATTCATCAAAATCTAACAAATTCCCAAGCCCACCCAAACATCCATCCCACCCCCATATATAAAAATCTAAAGGGAAAGGGAGATTTTAAAACATGTTAAAAAGAACTCTGCACCCCTCCGGGTCCTCCTGGGCAGTAGCAGCATCAGTGGCAACAACCGTCCTTGTGAGGTCCCACCCCTGGACCAGATAGTAGGTGGCAGGAGCAGTCCTTGTGAGGCCTGTCAGGCCCCGCCCTGGGCCAGGTGGTAAGTGGCAGGAAGGAGCAGGGCCCTCAGGCACTCACACAGGGGAGTCCTTCTGGGCAGCAGAGCAGTTCTTTTGAGGCTTCAGGCCCCGCCCCAGGCCAGATGGTAAGTGGCAAGAGCACACAAAGGAGTCTGCACACAACTTGGAGTGAATTTAGAGAGGAAAGCTATCAAACCTCTGGAACTTTTCTTGGAAAAAGAATGGAAGAAGTGTAAATGGAAGGGCTATTTTTTTCACAACCAAGATGGAAATTCACAGCAAACACAACGGGTTCAGGTTGTGTCCTTCAGAGCAGGTGAAATCAA